CTCACATACAGCGCACTGCAGTAATCCAGCCTTGAGGTTAGCAACGCATTGGCTGAGGTACAGATTCCATCTTCAATTAAATATGGTACTATATATAATACTCAGGCCTTGGGTGGCTAACCTGGCCTCTAAGGTCATGCACATCTTTTAGTGGGGTGGGTGATATCGTGCTGTCGGCTGAGCATTGTAGGTATTTTGCATTATACACTGTTTTAAACTGTCTGGTTCTGATGGTTTTATCTGTTATCTTGCAAGTCTCTCTGGGATATTTTTTTAGGTAAAAAGGGACTAATGTAAACAACAACAACACCTGTCTTGTTGTAAAAATGATATTGTATTAATGCTGAAAAATCTATAAAATGCCTTATGACCAGGCCAAGACATTTTGCTGCCTCAGTCAAAGGGCAACAGGGTGCCTCCTGTACCATGTACAGAAAGCTGACTGGCTGTTGAATCTTACTTCAACACTGGTAATAGGGCTGCATCCTTCACTACAGCCAAGGATAGCAGGCTAGCTTTGGGGGTATGGGGCCATGTGGGACACACAGCTCTGTCCCCCAACATTCACACCTCTCTCTGCCTGCCTGCCCGCCCCCAGCATTTGTAGCCTTCTCAGATAACCACCTTACTCTTACTAATGGCAAGGCCGATGCACCTTGTTTTCTGATCCTATACATCACATAAGAACATAAGAAGAGCCTGCTGGATCAGGTCAATGGCCCATCTAGTGGCTGCCCAGATGCCCCAATGGGAAGTCTACAAGGAAGTTTGAGCACAAGAGCACTTGCCCCTCCCGTTGTTTCTAGCAACTGGTATTCAGAAGCATTGCTGCCTCTAACTGTGGAGGCAGAGTAGAGCCATCACCCTAATTAGAGGTATCCGGATGGACCGTGAATCATTTTGCTCATTTCATCAAAGCTTTTATCCTTCCCCCTAAATTCACACAAGCAGGAACCCACACATTTACCGTACTTAGAATTCTGCTTCAGGTAGGAATCTTAGTCATAACACAATTGACAAATAAGCTGCCATTTTAGAGAATTTAAGTGAGTACCAGTATTCATTTGAGATTTCAGGGCAATCTTTTAATATGTTGCATCAGCCAGTCTTGATGTTGTATTTTTAAAGGCCGCTAGCATTTTGCATATTTAAAGTCCAATATCAAGAGGAAAGATAATATACTAAGATAGACAGCAAAACCAGATCTTAATGTATTGTTCTTCCATGGACTGTAGCTTAAAAATCCAATTTGGAGTCCAGAAGTGGATAACTTTCTGATCAAGTGTGATAAGTCCATTAAATAATTGGTGATAAGGAAAAAGTGACTAAAGAACCAACCTTTAAATATACTAGAACTTCAAAATAATGTTGAATTTTTCACCCCTGCCCCATAGGCTAAGATGCTAACAGTATTTTAATATAGCATTCCAGTATCTTCATATATAGATCTGGTTAACCAAGCACAAAAGGATGTGGTATAATAGAGCATATGATGAATGCTGTATTGAGAAGGATAAAATACACACAGCTGAGTGTGGGTTAAAAGTGTGTGCATTTGTTATGTATGAGGCATCCAATTAAATCCCTAGTGCTGCAGTACAGGGCATCTCCACACCACAGACTTTAGTTCAAAAGACATGCCCTATTTCCCAAGGCCCTCTGGGAATTGTAGTTCTCTACGGTATTGTCTCTGAAGTAGAACGCTCTGCAGTATTTCAAACTACAATTCCCATGATTCTTTAGAAGCAGCATGGCTGTTAGTTAAGAAATCAATTACATTTGTAACACAAATATTCCCCGAAATTTCAAGACAGGCGTGCTGAAAGACCTGTGTCTGAGATCTTGATATTTTTCTGCAGCCATCCAGCTCTGGGAAACAAAACCAATATACTTGTGACGAAGAATTTTCCTCACAGAAAACTGTGAGGAAGAACAAAAACTGACAGCTGGGAGAATTGAGAGCACAGTGCTAGGAATTTCTTCTTGACAAATGTAATATAGTGCATACATAGGGAGAATTAATGAAAGCTACTCATGCACACTGCTGAACTTTACAATTCACTATAACCGCTGAGGAAAAAGACCCGAGGTTAGTGCAGACAGCTCTCTGGAAGCATCTGCTCGGAAAACAGCCCGTCACAGAGCAAATAAAGCATTCGGCCTCTAAGGGTAATACTAGATTCCATGATGCCCTTGACCATGCCAGCATAACTGGAGCCAGCTGAGTAGTACTTTATCCTAGGCCAGTCTTCACCAACCTAGTGCCCTCCAGATGCTTAGTTGTTTTAAATAATCCAACATTTGCCCCTACCCACCCCACCACCTCAGAAAACAGGATGAACAGGTGCAGGAACATCTTGCCACAAAACAAGCCCATGTCTTTTAGAAGGCAACTGCAGAAAATCAAGTGCTTAGGAATACTGACCACTATGAAAGATTTGGTGAAACCCAGTTTGGACATGCTTTTGCAAATTACCACCACAAATATGAGCAGATGGCAGGCCCTGCAGCCATCATTACAGGGCTGGGCAAAATGAATGCACTTTTGCGCCCCATGTGTTTTATGAGATCTCTTAATTACCTACTGCTTATTATTGCAGGCTCTTGAGAAGATTCCTATGGAGACTAAAAGCAGTGCACACCCTTTGCCAACTTATATTTGTCCATCCAGAAAGTTAATTTTATTTCCCTACCCTTCATTTCTATCATTCTGATCTACCCTCCTTTATTTATGTTAATCCTAAAGCAACATCATTAACATCCCCAAATGGGTTTATTTATTTGAATCTATATTGGTGGATCCATTGGGGAGTGACAATACACAAGCTTTGCATGCAAAAGGTTACAGGTTAAATCCCTGGCATCTCCAGGAAGGGCTGGAAAACTCTCTTGTCTGAAAATCATGAGAGATGCTGGCAGTGGTTACATGCAGTACTGAGCTAGATGGACCAATGCTTTTATATCCCCTTTGAGTCCTTGGTATTTTGACCACCACATCCTGTACGTTTCTATACATGCCAACTCCATTGACAGACTATGCAATGGCTTGGATCTTTCAACAACAATTCGACCATGAAATCCACTGGAAAGACCTTTGTACACAAATCATGGGATGAAAGCTGAGACTGACAACCTTGCTGGACACGTAAAAGTTCTCCTACTTTCATAAGCAGAAGGGCAGTGCTGTATTTTTAAGTGAGATATAAGTGGCCATGCTTATAATGCAGCACCTTTGAGTTCAGGTACCCTCTCAGTCTCAGCCTGCTCTGCCATGGGTAACATTCAGCTACTCAAGGGACTAAAACATTTCCTCATTCCACTGTTGAGTAAGTCACTTTGGAAGCCTTTTGGCTAAAGAGTGGGACAAAAATGGTTCAAATAAAAATCTTATATATTTACTAATTACGGTATATTAAAGAAAGAGAGAGAAATATGTATGCATGAAGCACAGAGGGATTTTGAGATCCCTGGTAACAGGAAAAGGAGGAAAACTACCAGTTCTCTACAGGGGAAGTTTTGCTTCAAAGCAAGTAAATCACCACCATAAGACATGCACTGTTTACTATAGCATAATGGTTTTCCTAAAGAGTCCCATATAACAATTCTATCTCAGATCCATATGACTGGCACTGCAGGATCTCTGAAGGTATATTCACTCTCTCACACACTTTGGCCCTGTTCAAATGTTGCCCCATTCTGAACATTAGAAGCACCAACTCAAACCTTGCTGCCATTTAGCTATTGAGCTTATCCAGACCCATTTTAGGATACTTCTAGGAAAAAATCAATGTGTCCTGGCTTAGAAGTGCTTTGCTAGCAGTCAAGAGCAATGTCTTCCCAAAATTTGCCTGAACACTACGGTTATACAAATTGTTACTAAACACTAGCAAACTTATTTATAAAAGTTATGTTTGCTGTATTGTTAATATCTAGAAGAAGAAAGTGATTATACTGCAATTTTTTGAAGACAACAGAAACTTTCCAAGATTCATTTTGCAAAATTGAAGTGTTTCAACTCCCAGAGAAAGAGAGCAGAGATTCTCTGGGCCAGTAAAAAGAAACTGACACAGTATGGGAGTGCATGGATTCCGCACATACAGAGCATGCCCTGTGAGCATGGGAACAGGAAGCTCTGGATACACATCTTGCAGAAATGAATGAAGCAGTACCTTCTCCCCTATGTGTGGCACACTAAAGCCACATAGAGCTTTAGCAACTGGGAGGGATGTTTGGAACACAGTTTTGTTCACAAATTGCAACTAAACACGCATGAGAATGCAACAGCTCTGCTGATAAAGGGCCAATATAGTCTGGCATCCTGTTGCCAACGGTGACCAGCCAGATACCTCCAGGAAGTCCACAAGCCCTCTCCCACTGTTTGACTGCAGCATCTGATCTTTAAAGATATATTACTCTGTCCAGAGATATAACACCCAAATAGTGGAGCAACACAACTCAAGTATTTGCACTCGTATTAAGTCCAAAAAAGAATGAATACAAGGTATGAAAAATGGGGTTTGCAAGAAATTGGAACAACTGGACAAATTTAGTTTGTTAGCAAGATTTGTCCTAAAATAAGAAACTGCAAATACAAGATTTATGAGAGAAGAGGCAGGCAGCAGTGCTGCCTCCTTGAAAATTATAACCTTTGAACAGCTCAAATGCTTTCAAAGCATGTCTTGCATGTCTTTTAAAAATCATGGGGGCTAGAAACTTGGCTAATTTTTTTAAGAAAACAAACCTGAGCACCACTAAAATCCAGATTCCATGATACATGCTAAGCTCCAAAAGAAAGCAGCCTAATTTTGTATTTCCTTGCTATAAAACACAGCAGGTATGTGTCAAAACTGGAAGAAGAAAGACAAAATAGGGGCTGGCTGCAGAAACTGAGTCGTTCCTATGCAGGAAGTAACAGTAGCTATACTTGCATCACATTTATTTACCCTACAGCAAAGATACAAATCATAAGCAATATCTCAGTCACTGCACAAGAGACTTACCTGTTCTCAGAGGGAGAATTCATTGAACAATTCCCCCCCCCCCAAATTGTAAAGTAACACAGGAAGTCCACACCATTCTCATTCTGCAGAAGAATGTAAAGCCCTCACTCCTGCCCAGCCATCTCTAAGTAATCGCTCTGCTTTACAAGATCTGAGTGGCACAAAGAGAACCAGCAAGGGGGAGGGAAAAAACCAGCCACCCCCATGCACTCCAAGCATCTGCAACCACAAAGACTCATGCTTGCAATGAGATAACTCCAGATGCTAAAAATAACCAGCCGGCTGCAATTCCCACTGTATGTAGCTGGGCAGAAACACTTCATTTCCCCCAAGTATGCTTCCTCCTAAAACGCAACATTAAAAAGCCAAACTTAGGCCTTTGTGGCATGTTTGCCCTATGTGATAACCTCTCTTGTAAAATGAGAATAAGCTGTGGAACTTTTGAAAGAGTAAACCTATGCCCAAATTGATCTTTAGATTTCATTTATCGGACTCTTTGATGTAAAAGAAATGAACAGATTAGATTATTGACTTCTAAGTTAACCAGAAGGTTGGTGGTTTGAGTCCACCCATGGATGCCTGTGGGCAGGATTCCTGCATTGAAGGGGTTGGACTCAATGATCATTTGGGTCTCTTTCAACCCTACAATTCTAGGACTGCCTAGATGTCAGCTTCCCTCTTTGCACCTTTCAGCTATCACCATGGCTGAGCAAGGATTCAAACTCAGTTCTGTTTCAACACACAACACTTTAACCATTATACCGGGGAGACCCCAGAGGAAATCTGCAAGGGAGAGAATAAATGGGCAACAGCACCCCCAAACAAATGTGAATCACTCTGAATGACACATCCACAGCATCGGGAGGCTGTTGCCTTTGAGATGCCAAGGCATCAGATCAGCCTGATGCTTTTCTTTTTGCATGAAGGTCACATCCACATGATACATTTGAACCACATGGATTCCCCCAAAGAATCCTGGAAGCTGTGGTTTACCCCTCACAAAACTACCATTTCCAGAACACTTAACAAACTACAGTACTCAGGATTCTTCGGAGAAAGCCATGTGTGTTAAATGTATGGAGTAGATGTGACCCGTCTCCTGCCTGCGCACCAATCTTTGCCAACAAATATGCAAAATAACTGGGGTGTGTGTGTGTATCTGATAAAATGAGCTCTCTGGCTACCACAAGTGAGAGTGCCTTTCACCAACACAACAATGGGGTCAAAAAGTATGATGGGAATCTCATAGCAGGCAGTGTCCTAGTAGTGTGAGTGTGCCACTTTAGCTTATTTTGGTATGCAGGGGCATATAAAGTTATTTGTATAGCTCAGATTTGCTCATGCAGCTCTGAAGAACGGGGAACAAGAAACCAACTAGGTAAGAGTAGTGAAGAAGGTAATGGGTATGCCTGTGTGAATGTTGAGAAAGGAGCACTTTTGAAATCTACTTCATGGACACCAGGCCAAGGTTCAGTCTTTATTGCGCTTTAGACAAGTCCTGGCAAAGAAACCATCTGCAGAGGTGAGAACAATTTGCTGGAAGTGCTTAGAGACTAGAGAAAGGGGGATTCATAAAGGACTGAGGAGGCCCTTATGCTATTGGAGTTTGCAGCATCTTTGCAATCCATATTTCGCATGTTTGAAGGCTTATGTTTTTGTAATATATTTTAGACCATCCACATCAATCCCTAGTATGCGAGAAGCAGAATTTGTACCTTTTAGGAAGTACTGTATATATGTTCAGCTCTTAGATTATACAATCTACATCTGCCTTCCCTAACCTGGTGCCTTCTAGATGTTGTTGGACTAAAACTCCCACCACTATTGATCATGCAGGCTGGAGCTGATGGGAAGTTGTAGTCTACAACATCTGGAGGGCACTAGTTCCAGAGACTTAAAGATAAAAATGTCACTCCTCTCCATATTTATCGAAGTCTATGTACAGAAAGAAACCACTTTACAAATAAATACACTTGAAACAGTCATTAGTCAACCTGTCCTGGAAGTAAGGCTTGAAAAGAAAGTATGTCCCATCATGTGGGTCAAAAAAATTATTACAGAATCATAAATCACCAACTCAGTTAAAAACGTATCATGACAATTATTCAAATAATCAAATAACTAAAACTTCAAAGAATAATAAAATCCAGAATTCTAGAAACAAGCAAGCATCACTGAATAAAACTGCAGCCTAAAGCTTTTTTCTAAACCATCCTGCCTTGTCTTAATACACAACTGTAAGCTAGCTAGCTAGCAAAAAAAGTGTGCAGTATTTTGTGTACTTATTTGCAAAAGGGTAATTGATGCTGTGACCAAGTTGACCTAATATCTAAGCTTACGAGAACAAAGAAGAATGCTTTCAGTGTTTTATTGAATGGCCTTTGAAACAAACATTCAGAGTTCTTCTGCAGCTCCTATTCATTTCAATGCAGCTGTAGGTAAGATGCAGTAGATGCGATTGTGCCGCATTTCAGGTCAGTTCCATGCATCCCCCACTCTGCTTCCCACCAAAAAACACACTACCTAAGTAAAGGTAAAGGTAAAGGTACCCCTGCCCGTACGGGCCAGTCTTGACAGACTCTGGGGTTGTGCGCCCATCTCACTCTATAGGCCGGGGGCCAGCGCTGTCCGGAGACACTTCCGGGTCACGTGGCCAGCATGACAAAGCTGCATCTGGTGAGCCAGCACAGCACACGGAAACGCCGTTTACCTTCCCGCTAGTAAGCGGTCCCTATTTATCTACTTGCACCCGGGGGTGCTTTCGAACTGCTAGGTTGGCAGGCGCTGGGACCGAGCAGCGGGAGCGCACCCCGCCGCGGGGATTCGAACCGCCGACCTTTCGATCGGCAAGCCCTAGGCGCTGAGGCTTTTACCCACAGCGCCACCCGCGTCCCAATACCTAAGTAAATACCTAAGTAAATACCTAATACCTAATACAATACCTAAGTAAATACCTAAGTAAACCACCTCAAATTGCCTTGAGGTAGATCACCTCTGATAAATAAACAATCCATTCAGAACAGTTGGGAAATAAATTTTAGCCAAAAATACAAGGGAATCAACTACTTGCTTTTGGGGATCAAGGAACCTGCACATCAGGTTGTTCATGCACCAATCAAAAACTTGACTCAGATCAGTCCAGCCTAATACCATTTTCCTCTGATTGGCACCTGTTTTCCAAGATTTAGACAGGAATAGGAACCTGAGGTCCTTCAGAAGCTGCTGGACTACCATTCCCATCATTTCTGAACACTGACCATGCCTGCTGGGGCTGATGAGTATTGCAGTCCAACAACTTGGGGAGGGCCACAAGTTCTTCATCTCTGGCCTAAGAGATGTTTCCCCACCCTAAAATTACCCAAGGTAATTTTAATTGGAAGTGGTTTGATGCATACAAAACAAGTGCTGTACCTGTGAGCCATGAAACAGTGTTTTAGGAACAGCATAAAATTCAAAACTAACTTTCAGTACATTGCAACCACACCTTTGCCAAATGAGAGCCATCGTTCATCTCCACATAAGCAGATTAAACATGTCAGAAGTACAAATAAATGGAAAAATCTTCTCGGGCTGCTTCGTGCCAGTTTTGCTGCTCTCTGTCTGATAAACGGCAGCAAATAGTCTATTAATGCTTTCTACTTAAACTCATTTAAGAATACAAGAAAATTTTTATTTAAGGTTTGTTAATGGTGCTTCTAGGCTGGCCCATAACCACAGTTCTCTGGATGTCATACATGAAATATATTATCCTATGATATAAAATCAAAACACAACTCCGCGTTGATTTTCTTTTGCAACAGAACCACACTCACTGGCCTACATTTCTGTATTTATTAAATTTCTATACTGCCCTTCATCTGAGGATCACAGGGCAGTTTACAATACAAAACCACAAAAAATATAACATAGTAACAAACAACATCAATAACCCCCCATCCACCCCCAGTATATATTTATTGTATTATGTACAAAGAGTGCATCACGTCAGGATGATTCAGCACTGACTACACTACTGTGGCTCTATCCTGAAACACTGCAAAACTAACAGCAACACCCCCACATAAAACCACCATAGAGACAGATAGAATTTTATATATATATATATATATATATATATATATATATATATATGCAGGTTTTGGTGTCCTCGGGTGTCTTCCCGTGTAAAAGTTGGGGTGTCTAGGCGACGTTTCGACGAGGTCTCACTCGTCATCTTCAGGCTGGTGCTTTCGGCTTCTTGTTACTGGAACAGAGCAGGATCTCAGTGTTTGAGTTCCTATAAATACTGTTGAGGGGGTGTGGTGTATAGCCTCCAATGTTCTGGGCAGAGAGGAAGTTCCCAGGCTAGTGTGCCTTTTCTTCTTTTGTTCCTTAATTACTTGAGGGATATCTTGAGTGATTTCTTGAGTGATATCCTGAGTACCACTTAGGTGGGTCATTAGGTGTGGATTAGTTGCTAAAGCCTTCGTGTCTTGACCTCTTGAACTTTGTGAAGAGTTTTTCTGAGAAGATGGCTGTACTGCACTTAGTTGTGCTCTGGCTTGGCTTCGTGTATAGGGGCGAGCTGTGGTTTTGTGTCCTGTGCCAGCCAGATCTGTGTAGGGATTGCAGGGGGGTGCAGCATCCGGAGGTGCCACCATGGTTTGGCTACTGGATGGTGTCTGTAATTTATCTGTGGAGAGGGTCTGGGTTTGGGTCTGGTGTGGTTGATTGGTGATGGCGTTCTGTGTGCCTCTGGATCTGGTGTCGGTTTTTGTGGGGAGGGCTAATTTCCAGATGTCTGGCAGGCGGGATGTGTCGTCACGCTTGTTCATGTTGTGAGGGTGTTTCTCTATCTCGATGGCTTCCATGATTATTCTCTTGTGGTGATGTTCCATGTTAGAGAGCAATTTGGAATCTGCAAAATTAATTTCGTGTCCTGTTTCTTTCATGTGTTGGAAAAGAGAGGAAGTTTTTTCTTCTTTTTTGACGGCATTCTTGTGTTCTGCGATACGTGCATTTATTCGTCTGTTTGTTTGTCCAATGTACGTGGCTGGGCAGACTTTGCAGGGTATTTCATAGACTCCTTGGTTTTCCAACTGGATTTTATCCTTGGGGTTTCTGAGGATATTGGCTATTTTTTGGTTGGTGCAGAAGGCTGTTTTGATATTGTGTTTATGGAGGATTTTGCTAATTTTATCTGTAGTGCCCTTGATATAAGGAAG